CACAATGACTGGTCTCAGTTTTCTTGTTTCGCAATTATTAATACCTTAAAAGCATTGAATATTCGAAGTAATATTAAAAATAAATAGTTTCACTTAAATTCTATAACAAATGTTCGAAGAAATTGAAAATAATGCATTGTAACAATTTTTATACGGATTACATACCAATCATAATAAATGCTCGGTAATTCTAGTGTTAAAATTTCTGAATTATTATTTTGCTAGTGTATAATTTCTAAAGTAAAAAACGTAGAATGTTTTGGCACTGTAAAGGGTTAAAATTGATGTATTTGCAATGAGTAACATCTAAGTAATGAAAGTTCAAAAACAACAATTTTTCGATTGCACTCCACTGTTATTTTAATTTTATAAAGCAGTACATTTATAAAAATTACATTCAGGTCGTGTAAATCGCTTTTTATCATTTTTATTTTTTTTTCTCGGTAATAATAAATTGAGATTATTTATTCAATTAACTAATACTATAAATGTATACTTTTATATTAAAATTAACTGTCAAGTTGGACGAGGAATACGAATATTTTGTTCTAGATTTTTATATTAATGTTTATCTAATAATAATAAAATATTTTCGCGTTTCTAGGATATAGTCGAAAAGTAGAAACATTTGTCACCCGTTGAAGAGTTCCGTCACAACATGGTCACTGTTCCTAGCGACAGGTGTGTACGTATTCTCCATTGTTCTTCCCTCGTTCATTATACCGTGATACGTGTCGCCTTAGCGAACGCGAGTCCCTGAGAATTGGAACGAATGAAACGTACATAGCTACGAAAGCGAGTGTTCCCACTTTTCACTGGTCTCTTGTTTGGAACCAAAAATTCCTGTCGTGCTTCAACCAGATTGATTAACTTCTTGCTCTATGATTTCTTTCACAACTGTGTTTGATAAAAATACTTCATCGATAATAATTTCTTAGAGAAAGAAAAGACTTTGTTACTTATTCTGTGTATACGTTTACTAAAATTAGCCATTGGTAATAGAAAAATAATGTTTAATTTGTATACAAAAAGAGTAAATAGGTTTGTCAAATTCTGTCGAAAATTTTTGTCACGAATCGGATGATATCGTAGTGCAGGGTGTGAAGTTCGAGACAAAACATTGATAACAATAAAATAATCTTTCGATTCAACCTATACGTAATATGTAACACTAATTTTTATTAAACCCTTGCTCTATGATTTCTTCTATAATTGCGCTCGCTAGGATAGTCCCTAATCAGTTACCAAAAAACAAAGGCAAATCTTAAGTTTATCTATATTTACTCTTATTTCAGAATATATTAGTTGATAATAGAAAAATGATATAAAAATTGCATCCAAAATAATTGAGCGATATTTGCTTTGTAATTTTCATTTGGAAATTACTCCGCACGGTCAGTGTTCGAATCGAACTAGAAATCTTATGCTTATACACAATTTACAATATTAACATAATAAAATTTGAAACTTTTCTAAAAGATTTGAGAAATTTTTCCTGGAATCTTGTATTTGTTCAAATACAAAATACAGAATAGAAGATTCCATTTGACAGTTAAATAATGAAATAATACGAAGGAAAATCATTCACTTGAATAAATCAACATACGAGTATTCATATGTATTTACATTTAGATAAAATCGAAACTGATTTCAATGATCTTTAATCCTACTTAAATATTTGATTCCAATAATATCCATGCTTGACGTGTAAACACGCTTTTATCTTTGGAGAAGTTGAACATCGTGCAACGATCAGTAATCATTCATTTGCTCGATAATTTCCGGAAACGTCCGGAAAAAATCCACTCTCGACCACCGTCACGAAAGCAACGTGTCTATTGTGTTCTTGTTGAACTCTTCGTTATAAAGGTTCCTACACACGTAGAAACATGTTACGATGCAACGATTATCAGGTTCCATGATATATACACAGTGCAATATTTGTAGTTCAATGTGACTTTGGTAGTCGGTGTTTTTCAGAAGCTTATTTCTGGTGATAATGTTACAGTACACGAAATAAATCCAGGTAGTATTAATAATTAATATTAATAATTAATATTAATATTAAATTAATATTAAATTAATATTAATATTGATATTAAATTAATATTAAATTAATATTAAATTAATATTAAATTAATATTAATATTGATATTAAATTAATATTAAATTAATATTAAATTAATATTAATATTGATATTAAATTAATATTAAATTAATATTAAATTAATATTAATATTGATATTAATAACGGCTGATATGAATAATAACTACATATTATGGTCACTGTGATTAACAACACGTACTAATTACATTTATCAGTAAATATTTCTAACAATACTGAATTCCAATTACTGCAGCCCAGTAAATTTAATAAAAATATGTCTTACCATATATATTACTTCATTACTTGTTATTTACAATATATCATTACATACCCACTCACACGTAATTCCTATAAATATCTAAATTTCCTAATGCTCATTTATTCATTTATTTTTACTTAATTTATCTTTCAAAGAGAATAACACTGTTTTCTACTATTTTTTCACAAATATTTACTCAAACCGATCATATTTAAAATTAATACACGTAACAGTAATAATTGTGAATAATTAATACACACCGGTTCATGTGATAAATTCTAATTAATCATTCACTTTAACCTTTTCGATTTGTTGTTATTAATATTATCCGGTTATTATTAATGTAAACCGATGAATCACTTGAACCGTAACGATAACGCATGCGTCGTAACATGTCTGAACGTGTGTAGGGAGCTTAATGGTTGCGTGTCGTGGCGCGCGCTGCTTCGAGGAGGATCCTCCTCCGGTTTGAAAGCGATGAGGTCAGGCAAAAGGGTAAACAGCAGATAAGGATCCAAGTGCGGCCTGCGTTAATCATTTCCGACACGCAGCCTCAGGTATCCTTGAGGTAAACGGTTGTGAACTGTACCTTAAGGTCGGCCCGTTCACCGGCCGACCTTATAGGGAAGCCGCCGCGGGATTCGTGTGCGGGATGTGTCAAGGGACGCAGCAATGACTTCCAACTGGAATTTCTATAGCAGTGTATCTCGCGCAAAATCGACACGCTTGTTGCTAGAAGCGATAGCAGCACGGTAGGACTTCGATTAACCGAGTCACTGTTTTCCGTGGTCTGCATCATTCGATGTCTTGGTTATCCGCGAACTCAATAATTCTTTTTGCATTATTGAATTTTGGATATTTTGGGTTATTAAATTATTAAATTTTGGATGTTTTGATTAATCGAATTATTGGATTTTTTGAATTGTTGAACTTCGAATTACTGGATTTTTTATGTTTTGAGTTATTGAATTATTGAATTATTGAATTATTGAATTTTGAATGTTTTCAGGCATTAAATTATTTGATTTTTGAAGTATTGAATTTTGGATGCTTTAAGGTATTGAATTATTGAATTTTGAATTTTTTTAATTGTTGAATTTTGTATCTGTTTGTCCGCCTGAAAAAGACCATGAAAAGGCATCTAGGGATTTTTAAAATAGATCTACATAATGTCATAAATATGTACGTAGTCAGTAATAGAATGAAACTCATTGAGAAGGAAATAAATGAAATAATTGATATTTCATTTTCTCTTTCATCGTATAATAAACATTTACTCGAAGATTAATTATCTCGGTTATTATCGAATTATTATGGAATCATTATCGATCATTGTCAAATTAACGCGTCGAATAAATTTCTTTATTTCAAGACACGTGATTCCTCAAGACTGTAATATGAATAAGGATCAAATTCAACAGACGAGGCTGATTATCATCAAGACTTTAATACTCGAAATTAAATGCTCCCTCTTCGTGTATTTCCATATTTATTACAATTCATATCTATTAAACAGCGAAAATTATGGCGTATTAAAGAAAAACGGTTCCCTTAAGCGATCACTGGCGGAGAAGATAAATGGAATGAAAAATGTCCCATTAGCATAATGTCGAATATACGTATTTAATAAGACGAATACCATTGAAATAATTATCAAAGCTATCGATGTTTGCTATCCGTGGCGTCGGGATTAACGGTAAATAAAGATATTAAATCGTTCGTGTCGATTTATTTCTCTTCGAAAGTTGAAACGATCGCGAAGTGAACGTCTCGCGAATGAGTTTAACCCTCACTTGTCCCTCATTTTACGCAACTTGCAATCAATAAGTTGTTCGTCTATTAAATTCTCATAATGGTAAAATACTTAACAAGGAATAAATATTTATTTTTCAAATAATTAATTAATATTTTCAGTAATTTTAGATATTCCGTTAATATTTCAATTCATTTTAAACGTTTAATATAATTTCAGATTACTTTATAGAAATACATATTTACACAACGCGCTGCCCTTTGATATAATATTTATTGCAGCATGCACAATATCGTAACTTGTCGCACTTTTTCAACTTCTCTCAAAATTTTGACATTCAGTGGTAAATACAAATATCTAGCTGTATTCTGAAAGGATTGCATGATGAATATACAACAGTCTTGCAACAATTGCGAAGCAATGAATTGGTCACTGGAGAGGATTTGATAAAACCTAATAGTTACAGATTGATACACTAAAGTGTAAAGTTTCTTTTTAAGAAATAAGGTATCAATAATAATGATAATAATAATAATAAAATATTAAATAAATACTAACTCAGACCTAACCCGAATGGTTGACTAGCGCGACCTTCAGTTAGAAAATAAAAGTGGTCCGTATGATCATGCTAAAAAGAATAAAATCGGGAAATCTCAGATCAATCCTTTAACATATGACAAAGGAAAACAAACCTTTACTGGAAAAAATATATCAAATTCACGGTACACAGATGAGAGCTAAGTATTTCACTCTCCGATTGTATTACACGAAGCAACCAGGGTAAGGCGAAGGGATAAAAAATGGAGCGTCGCGTAACAGAAAGAAGGGAATTAAGGTCATAGTGCACGAGGTTGCATAGAATGCTCTGAGGTGTCCCGTTACGCGGATATCTTGCCACTACCGTTCCGCCTTCGGAGAAACAATCTTCCACGTTTTATACGCGTTTCTGTTGTTACCTCGGATAGTAAACTTCCCACCCTTTATCCGTGGTAAAAGTGTGATAACGATGGATTCTGTGTGTTCGATCGAGAGGTACGAAAATGCGGACACTTATATATAATATAAATACTTTCTTTAATAGGCTGTACGTTGACTGCTGAACCAGCATTCATAAGAAACCTGTGAAGTTAAAGTAATTGAGTCAATAAAAGAGGATCTGATGCGACTATACATATAAAGAACGAATCAAGTGTTTTAGAATGTTAAAACATTGAAGTTTATACTACTTATCTTGTAATTAGTTTGGAAAGAAACAGAGGATACGCGTGACGAAAAGAATGAGTAATGAAATAAATGTGTTGTCAAAATTACAATTCAGAAATAGGTTTGTTCCTGTTGGTAGTTTGAAGTTAGTTAACGGCAAATATAATAATATATATAATATACTATAATAATATATAAATAATATAATATGTAATACAATAATTCGCAATATAATTACCAAACAGAAATAAGGGGATAAGATATTTTTTATTTAGCACAATACCGTTGAGTTCCGTTCGCGAATTTTTACTTCATTAAAACTGTTACGATTGCGCGTGGAGAACAAAAAGGGAAAAAAGAACG